GACTCCTGCGCTTCAACGCAAACTTAACAGCACATTACTGACACTCAAGAAGACGAACGCCATCGACACCCAACGCTACTACGACGCTACTATCATTTTATTTTTTTAATTTCCAATAGGTGGAGCAATGCATGGTTAAACTAAAGGTAAATCAAGTGAAGTGTCTGTACAGATATTTTTTCATGGTTTCAGTTTTTTATAAAGTTATTGATTTATCATCCAAACTTACTCCTTTCTTTCTCTAAATTTCTGAACAGAAACACACCCTGAGTACAATTTCAGGTAATTTTTATCATTCAGCTTAACCTTTAAGGGAATGTTGTTGACTTTCAGCTAATCATTGCGATCCTCTTGTCATTTACACACACTCAAACAGACTCTCTTTGCTATCTTTTTTTATACTTATCTGCAAAGTTTATTTTTTTCTGGGCGGTCACTGTGCTAAATCAACCGAATTGAGAATGTATTTTGTTCACTTTGATTTCTCTTCTAGAGAAGTAAAACTCCCAAAACAAAACGTACCAGCTTTTGGGTTGTTCACTCCCAGCTGACGCTGGTCGTTACATTTATTACAAGAATGAGATAAAAGTAAAACAATCATTTTGCCTGGGAAAAAAGGATAAGCAAAAGAACGCCTGCAAGACTGGGACTAAGATAAAAACCTTTGACACTGCACACCTACATATCCTCACAACACATAACATGACACCTTTGCACTAGCACCCGAACTTAAAGAGCCTTGGAAACCGAAGCTAATTTCGTTGTTGGTCGGAAAAAAATGCATTTTTTAAACCTTATAATTACACCTAAAGAAGAATGACAAAAGGAAAAAACCCCTACTTGATTTGATTACAATATAGCGTAAGAGACATTAGCATATAAATTTTTTTATTCAATTCTTGGAGTCGCTTAAAACGCTAAACAATATCTGACACCCCCGAGAGTTTTGAAAGAATTTTTCAGTGAAAATTCTGCGAAAATCGTTCGGCTTCCGAGCATTTAACGAGAGGGTGGTTTTTTCATGCTAATAAATTCCGATTTGGCTTTCTTCTTTTTTTTTGGCTTTTCCACTCTCCGACAACCTTGGTGCGATAAGGTGTATACCCAATTCAAATCTTCCATTCATCTTTCCGAATTAAGAGTTTATGCCTCACACCATTTCTCAGATGAAAAGTATGCCTCGCTAAGTAACTAAGGAGTTTACGAGAAAAAACAAAACAAAACAAAAGCAAAAACAAGAGAACCAGAGATGAAGAATAATGTGCACAGAAGGATCAGTCTACAAATCTGGATCCCATCTGTTGTAAAAAGGAGCCGTTTGAATCAATAATTTACAGACGAGTGAAATACAAGACAAGTGATGGGGCAAGCGTAAAATTTCAATACACTGACTTACTTGTTTTTAGCAGCGAAACATGCTAAGAAATTTTACCAACGAAATATTTTTAAAAGAAAACTGGAGTACCTAAGACTATGCCACAAGTTTTTAAAATCAAATTGGT